TAATACAAATTATCTTTTTATATGCACTGGAGAGAAAGAAGCCCTCTTTTGGATCTCTTGATTCAATACCCCAAACATTTAGTGAGTGCCTACTCTGCTTATGGCATATATTTTTTTCTACAAGGGTGCCAAAATAAAGACATAGCCCCTGCCTTCACAGAAGTTAAAGTCTTGGAGGAGTCAAATGTGTATGCAGCTAATGGCAAAGCATATTGTAAAGTCTATAAAAGATAAAATGTAATGGAGATCAGAGGAGGAAGAAGTTAACTTCAGGGGGAAATCTTGAAGGCTTCATGCAAGCAATGTCTTAAATATGAATACGCTTAGTGATGAATGAAGCAGGATATTCACTCGTCATGAGAAAAGTCTGCTTGAACAAAGATATAAAAGGGGATGGTGTGGGGGCTCCTGGGTGGCTCAGTCGTTTGGGAGTCCAACTTCCACTTAGTCATGATCTCACAGTTCATGGGTTCGAGCCCCGTGTCAGGCTCTGTGCTGACTGTTCAGGGCCTGGAGCCGGCTTCAGGTTCTGTGTCTCCCCCTCTCTTTCTGCCCCTCCCCCACTCGCACTCTGTCTCTGTGTCTCTCAAAAATAAATTTTAAAAAAGCTTAAAAGGGAGGGGGAATAGTGTGTTTGAGGAAGGAAATATAATTTGGTATGACTGGGGGGACTGGGAGGTGAGTCTCATGGGAGATAAGGTTTGAAAAGCAGGTTAAAAAGAATCTTGGGATGCCAAATTAAGAACTTTGGGCTTTACTCTGGGGACTGGGTGGAGAATATTCAAATCTGTGTTTTGGGAAGATAACAAGCAGCCCTGTGAGGAATGGATGGGAAAAGAAGGGTCAGTTTGGAGGTGAATGGAATTATCCAGAAAGGAGATAATACTGGCATTACCTAGGAAGCAGGAGCTGGTGTGGAAAGGAGAGAGTGGATAGAGAGACCAAGACAGAATCAAGACTTAGTGATGTCCCACTGTGGGTGTAGGAGTTTAGGGATCCCTAGCTTGGGAAACTGGTAGAATGGAAGTACTACTACCCAGCAGGAGGAACATAGGAAAAAGATCAAGGGTTTGGTTTGACCGTCAGGGGTGTCTGTGGAGAGGACATTGGAGAGGGAGCAATAGCAGTTGAGAACAAGGTCAGGGCTGGAGACACAGATTTGGGGACCATCCAGAAATGGCTGCTGCAACCATAATGCATTGCACTTCCCTAGGGAGACCAGGGTTTCAACCTTAGCACTGCTGACACTTTGGTCTATATAATTCTTTGCTGTGAGAGGGCTGTAGGAAATTTAGCATCCTTGGCCTCTGCCCACTGGATGCCAGTAGCACATCCCCTCAGTTGCAATAAACTGAAATGTCTCCAGGTGTTGTCAAATGTCCCCCTTGGAGGGCAAAATCAACCTCATAGAGTACTATTGCTCCAGGAGAGTGCAGAGTCAGGAGCGGAGATGGCCAAGGGCAGAACCTTCTGATTCTAAGGTCACAGTCAGAAGGAAGAAAGCACGTTAGAAGCAATGGGGGGAGGTGACTGTGTCACAGATGGGGTGGCCAGCAGTGTAACAGTCAACAAAGGGGGTTGGAGACAAAAGAGGCTTTGGCAGTGGTGAGAGCTTTATGGTCCTTCAGGAAGCAATTTCAGTTGTGCCTCGTGAATGGGCCTTTCCTTATTTTCTAGCCTTTCCCCAGAGGGGAGTAAACTGCCCACTTGGGCCATAAATAAGATAGGGACAGATGTCAGTGTACCCCCAAAGTTTGCCTGGTTGCTTTGCAGACTGTTAACTATTCATCTTACATTATTTTCTCATTCTATTTTGTCTATTAGTCTCTTTTTTCATTTATAAAGTGGTTTAGTAGAAATATAGAAATATATATCCATATCATTTAATCCTAATAATAACCCTGCAAAACACTTTCATTCCTCTTCCCATTTTGCAGACGAGGAAACTGAAGTTCCCAGAGGCGAAGTGGCTTGCCCAAGACCACACAGCCAAGGAGCAGGAGAGATCATACCCAAATCTTCTGATCACGCAGGGACTGAGAACACTCTTCATCACACTGTGATTGCTTCGTTGGCTGCCACTCCTACCACGGAGCATTTTTCTTTGCAAAGTGACTGATACTCCATTTCTTCTGGGATAGAGCAATCAATGACTTATTTCTCTTCTTGCACCCTGCCCATAGTATCATTTCTTTTTCCTTTCCTTTCCTTTCCTTTCCTTTCCTTTCCTTTCCTTTCCTTTCCTTTCCTTTCCTTTCCCTTTCTTTCTTTCTTTTTCTTTCTTTCTTTCTTTCTTTCTTTCTTTCTTTCTTTCTTTCTTTCTTTCTTTCTTTCTTTCTTTTCTTTCTTTCTCTCTCTCTCTCTCTCTCTCTTTCTTTCTTTCTTGTAAGCTCTAGGCCCAATGTGGGGCTTGAACTCATGACCTCAAGATCAAGTGTCACATGCTCTTCTGACTGAACTAGCCAGGCACCTCCCACCCCCCATAGTACCATTTTTGCTCACTGTACACTGTTTGGTGCCTTACTGAGTGTCTCATCCTGTGGGGGCATTAGCAAGGTGGCCTTCTGCCCAAGGGTAGCACTGTGATGTTTGCATGGGTGAGGCCAAGGCTGCAGGGGTCCTGCAAGGGGAAGAGGAGTGTGAAACACGTTACAGTCCCAAGTCTGGGCCCTAGAGAATCCCCCTAATGGTTGCTGGGTCTAGGCCCAAGGGTCGGCTCCCTCAGGGACATCAATGTATATCCAAGGCTGGCAGTGGCCTACTAGACCCCAGTAACTCCTCAACTACTGTAACCGTGATTTCCACCCTGGAAATCCTTCATTTCTTTCTGCTCTCCTCAGACATTCTACTCTGGCCCTTTGTGTTTTGGCACCTTTCATGTTCCCGTATCCACCATTGCACTTAGCATTTGGAATTTTTTTGGGAGACAGAGGGCGCAAGTGAGCTAGGGATACAGAGAATCCAGTGAGGGGCAGACAGAGAGATAGGGAGAGACAGAGAAGGGAGACTCACCCAAAGCAGGGCTCCAGCTCACCCGAAGTGGGGCTCGTGCTCATCCAAGGCGCGAATAGAACTTATGAACCATGAGATCATGACCTGAGCCAAAGTCAGATGCTTAAGTGACTGAGCCACCCAGGAGCCCTGGAATTCTTAGTAATAGTAATCACAATAGCCACCATTTACTGAGAGTTTTTTCAGTGCCAGGCACAGACAGTGAGGTAACTGAGGCTTAGAGATGTCACATAAGTTTATCTAAGGTCACACAAATATTAAGGTATGGATCAGTATGTCTAATAGAAATACAATTTGAGCCACATTTGTAATTTAAAATTTTCTAGTGGCCAAAGTAAAAGAAAAGAAACAGGTGAAATTAATTTTATCAATTTTAAAAATTTAACTCCATATACTACATTACTTCAACATGTTGTCAGTATGTAAAATGACTAATGAGATATTTACATTCTTTTTTGCATAATAACTTTGAAATACAGAGTGTGCTTTACTCTTACATCACTTCTCAGTTTATTTTAATTTTTTTAATGTTTATTTGTTTTATATTTGAGAGAGAGAGCGAGGGAGGGGCAGAGAGACAGAGACAGAGAATCTGAAACAGACTCCACACTGTCAGGGCTTTGCCTGAGGATGTGGGGCTTGAATACATGAGCCATGAGATCATGACCTGAGCCAAAGTCAACCAACTGAGCCACCCAGGGGCCCCTCACTTCTCAGTTCAGATTAGCCATAGTTCAAGTACTAAGTTCGTAGTATATAGTACATAGTACTATGTGTATAGTCAACAGCCACATGGGGTCAGTGGCTACTGTACTGGGCAGCACAAGTACAGATCAAGAATTCTGACCCACTTTATAGCCTTTCTAAGGATGGTGAAAGCAGGCTGGTACTGTGCACCAAAATTTGGGTTTGCAAAATATAATAACTTGATCTAAATTGTGATAAGATTTCATTATAAACTAGAATACAGTACCTCAAAACAAAGGTCCAAAATTTGTAAAATCGTTTAAAAAAATCATGTGTTAGAGAAGCTGACATTTCCCTCTTGGAACTGATACTTCTGTGATGGGACAGGAATGTTTGTTCCCTTTTGCGTGACCCTGTTATTGTTCTGTCTTGATAAATAGCATCCAGGAAGACTGGATTTTCTCTGGCCTGGAGCCAGGTGGTGGAAAAATCCTTTGCCCTGGGGCCCTTCTCTGGTCCATAGGGCAGGCACCTGACCATTTCTAACTCACTTCACCACCCACTCATGGTGGCTCCTGAAGGGATTGTTGAACTCTGGGACGCAAGAAGGGGTTGGTGAACCATCATTTCCTGGTTCCAACAAAGGCTAGGCCTTTGTTCTGGACACTGTGCGAGGCACGCTGCATGCGCTATCATTCTCACCATCCTCTGTCGTCAGCATTAGCACCTGCAAAACCCAGAGAGGTGAAGAGGTTCACCCAGGGTCACACAGCTAATAACTCAGAGCTTTCTGACACCACAGCCCAAGATCACAGCATTCCAGACTCTGGAGGTTTTAATACTTTCTGACCACCCATGCACATGGGAACAAGGGTTGCCAGCAAGAAATTTTCATATCTGTGTTCTGTTTCTATGTTAACTAGCCCTGGCAGGGTGCTTAAGGTTGATTTCAGTCTCTAGGATTTGGGGTCAGATATTCAGGACATTTAAAAGAAAGGAAGGAAGGAAGGAAGGAAGGAAGGAAGGAAGGAAGGAAGGAAGGAAGGAAGAAAGAAAGGAAGGAAGAAAGAAAAAGGAGACAGCTTCCCTTTCTAAATCTGGAGGCCCAGCCTCAGGAAACCTAGGAGGGCTGCTTGATCTTTCTCTTCTTGTTCCTGATGAGTTAGAAGACCTTTGGTGCCCGGGAGCCCTGTTGCTTTAAGTCTAAGCCCTGGTTTGGGAGGAGACTGGGAGGGCAAAGGAGGCTGCCCGCCTACCTGGGGGAACCTGCCGGAGGTGAGGCTGGAGCCGCCTGGGATGCGGGGTGGGCGGGGGCAGGCTGAAAGTTGGAGCAAGCAGGAAGTGAACCGAGGGCCGCCCGGGAGGAAACAGACTAGGCGAGTTTGCCGCTGACAGGCCTGAGCCGCTTGGAGACATGGTGAGCGAGCTGGGAACTAGGAAGGGGGGCCGATTCAGAGAAGGGCCGGAGTGGGCTGGGGGCTGGGGATCGGGAGAGCTCGGCGGCGGAGTCGGAGGGCTGGGCCAGGGCTGACCGTGGCCTCTCTCCTTTGACAACTTGGCTGCAAAAAGTTCGGAGCCGCCTGGGCGGGTGTTCCTGCACCTTCTCTACTCCCTCCCTTGACCTCTGTGCTGGCCTGGAGCAGGGTTTCGGTGGGGGTGGGGGGTCCGAATTCCAGGCGGGGAGTTGCTGAGAGGCCTTTCATCTCCTGCTCCAGCCCTCCCGCCGCCGGGTGTTGTGACACCCCTGGGCAGCACCTCTGAAGTTCTCTGGGCGGATTCCAGCCCCGCGGCAAAATCCCCCCCACCCCCTGCCTTTCACTTTATCCCTACACCGAAACCCCAGGAATCTGTCTTCTCCACCGAGTCTGAGGGATCAGGCTCCTCTCCATAAATGTGAGGAAGGAAACTAAGGGTTTGTGAAAGACTCAAACGTTAGGTTTCTGTGATAATCCATCTAGTTTGGACCCCAGCTCCTGGCCTGTTTCAAAAGGCCTAGGGTCAGGGAGGGAGGAGCTTCATAATAGTTTTCTCTCCCTGTTCAAAAACCTTATCTTCACCCAGGGCAGAAGTGCCCTCCATTTCCCCCAACACCCAGGCTGCTGTTTTTGTTGAATATCTGCTTAAGCAGGCAGTCGTGGCCTGGTGGCTGCGCGTGGTGCTGTGTGGTGGGAAAAGCAGAAGTTCGTGGCGCAATGACTCTCCCTCCTGGGGCCTGAGTGCTGTTGCTCTGGGTCACAGCACTTAGGCTGGAGGCCTGGGCCCCCAGCTTCTGCCCGGCCGCTGCCTTGCAGGGAAGCGGGGTTGTGCTGGCTGAGGGCGTTCTGCTGGCCAGCACGTGTATTTGTCATGAGGACCCTTTGGTTAGTAGTGGTGGGTTTCTACTTTGTGAGACGCCAGCCCAGCAGTTCCTTCTGACCCCATCAGGGGAGCAGGGAAACAGTGGAGAGGGATTTAGTGCTGGGTTTCTTTTCCTCATCAGGGGCCCTGAGAACCTGAAAAGAAATTTGATCTAGTCTGTCTAGCATCAGCACTCACCTTCTGAGACTTAATAACACATTTATTTTTGATTACATGAGTAATACGTGAAAACATTCTCTTTGTAAACAGTTCAAGCATTAAAACAAGCTAAAGTCCATCTTAGGCCTTCTCCTCCTCTGGCCTCTGAGGCTGAGTCTCAGTTCCTCCACCTCCACCGCTTGACCGAATTAACCCCTGTGTTGCTGCCCAGGACGAGGCCAGTGGAGGTGGAGGAAATGACCGCGTGCGGAACCTGCAGAGTGAGGTGGAAGGAGTCAAGAATATCATGACCCAGAATGTGGAGCGGATCCTGGCCCGAGGGGAAAACCTGGACCATCTCCGCAACAAGACAGAGGATCTGGAAGCCACAGTGAGATGGGGAGCCCACTGCGGGTAGAGGAAGAGAGAGGGGGGAGGACTGTTGAGGTTTGAGGGGTTGGTGGTGTTGGGGGCACAATGAATAGGAGAGAAGTCTGCCTTTTCACGTGGTTTGGGAATTGATGAGCAAGTCCACAGTCCTGATTCTGCTCTATTCCACTGACTGTGACTGGGATCCGGGGAAGGGGTCCAATGACTGGGGAGGTTGATTCTTGGAGGCATTTTATGAGAGAGACAGATGGCCCCGTCAGCCCTTCCATTCTTTGGCTTCTCTCCCATGAAACTGATTTTCCTCTTTGAAAGCTCTCCTTGACAATCCTTTGGACCTGACCTCCCCAGGGCAAAAAATATTGGCTCTGGAAACTCCTCCTAGGGCCTTTGGCCTTCTCTGGGGGTTATTAGGCAGGGGGCGGAAAACTGCTGGAGTTTTGCTGAGTCTGCTTTAAAAAGATGCTGGGAAGAGCAGTGAAATTCTTTGATCAAAGGGTCCTCTGCTAACTGAAGGCTAGAATAATATCTCCCACACATCTTGCTAGACCTCATTCCTCTCTCTCTTTAGTCAGCTGCTCACGGAGGGAGTAGCTCTAACAAAGTAACTCCAGTAAAGGCTGGAGCCTAAGGCTTTAGGTCCTTGGGGAGAGAGAATGGCCGTGGCTTTCTGAGTCCTGTGCATAATCCCTGGGAAAGGGTTGTTTGTCTCCCCGGGACTTGGTGTTCCTCTCGGTAGCCTAATCTGGGGAGCATGGCTCAGGGAAACTTAATATCTGCAACCTGAGTTGAGGAGAAAGAGCAGTTTCTCTCACCTCTAGCCTCCTCCATACTGCTCTGGCCCACCTTCTGGCTTCAGCTGCCCCCATGGGGCAAGGGGTCATGGATGCAGGGAGATGGGGCCATCTGGAGCTTGCACCCCTTGGCTCCAGCGTGTGCCCTCCCAAGGTGGGTTGTGCAGACAGGGTCGCACCCCCAAACGTGAGCAAAGTCCCCTCCACATGCGTGATGGTGCAGGGTAGGAAGAGAAGGGGGAAAGCAGGGGCCCAAAGGGAGCCCAGGAACTCTAGATTTGAACCTGGCCCGCCCGATTGTCATGAAGGTGGGAGGCAGAACATTTATTGCTAACAGTCCGTTACCGCAACTGATCACTTAAGTATTTAGATGTATGGGAGGGGCGCCTCTGTTCCAGTGCGAGGGTGCGCTGGTTCACTCTGCCTTATCCCCCAACAGTCGGAGCACTTCAAGACCACGTCACAGAAGGTGGCTCGGAAGTTCTGGTGGAAGAACGTGAAGATGATCGTCCTCATCTGTGTGGTTGTTTTTATCATCATCCTCCTCATCGTGCTCTTTGCCACCCATGCCATCCCAACTTAGGGAGCCCCACCCCAGCCTCCTCTTCAGGGCAGCCCTCCAGAGTGGGTGCCAAGAAGGGCCCTGTCTCCCATCCTCCGCAGGGAATGCTGCTCTGCCCTCCCGCCCCTCACTCTGAGGCCCCGCTGCCATACTGTCTGCCCCAGGGAGCACCTCGGTCCCCCGGAAGGAGAGAGCCGAACTGTGGCTGTGTTTCCTGGGCCCTCAGAGTTGGCTGGAGAGACACCCAGAAGGCCCAGCAAGTGGCTGGGAAACTGATGGTGGCCGGTGGGCAATAAAGACCTTTCAGTGTCCCTACACATGTGAGGTAATTTCTCCCTTTCCATTTTGCCTTTGGCCCTTCTATTTCTTTTCCCCCTGGGGTCCCCTTCTGGCTGCGATCCTATTTGAGTTCCAAGTGGTTGGAGGGGTAGAGAGCGTATGTTTGGAGAAGAAAGACGGAGCCTCCTCATTCTTCTCTATTCATTGTCACAGGTCTCAAGAACCAGAATTTCCTGAGGGTCTCGGCAAATGGAAAATTCAAAATCATTTTAGGGTGGTGTGCAGGATTCCTAAGTGTCCATCTTGGGTCTTGCCATGTCCCTTTATTACTTTTCTGCTGGAAGTGTTAGCCTAGGCAGCCCGAGGGCCTCCTGCCTCACCCGTCGCTGCCATCTCTCTTCTGTGGTCCTGTTGCAGTCTAGAGTGTGGGGTTGGAGGAACTGGGCTGCTCTTCCTTCTCTTTGGTTCTTCAAAATTCTTTCTTTCTTTTTAATGTTTTATTTATTTCTATTAGAGAGAGAGAGAGAGAGACTGTGAGCAGGGGAGGGTCAGAGAGAGAGGGAGTCACAGACTGAAACAGGCTCCAGGCTCTGAGCTGGCAGTCAGCACAGAGCCCGACGCGGGGCTCGAACCCACAAACCGCGAGATCATGACCTAAGCGAAAGTTGGACGCTTAACCGACTAAGCCACCCAGGCGCCCCTCTTTCTTTTTTTTAAAAGTAATCTCTACAAGTCAACATGGGGCTTGTCCTCACGACCCCGAGATCAAGAGTCACATGTTCTTCCGACTGAGCCAGCTGGGTGCCCCTGGTTCTACAAAGTTCTATTTGTCTTTTGTCTGCCCCTGCCCTTTTGGGACTTAGCAGGGCCTCTGGGTCTCAGCTGAGGGGGCAAACATCTCTTCCCATGTCTCGTGGTTGGGCCCAGTCAGTGTCACAGGACAGGGCCTATGGCCCTCCTTCCCCTCCATGTACAATGGAGCTCTTTGTCTTTGGGCTTCCCTCCTCCCCAGCCAGGTTCCACCTCATTGTCACTCTTTCCTCTGTCTTGGTTTGGGGAAAGAGTTCTTGTCATCTCTGTCCCCATTTCTCCCCTGGGCTTTCCAATATTAAAAAAAAAAAGACAACCTGTTTTGGGGAGGGAGTGTAGAAGGAACAGGGTTAGGAGACAGGATTTGGAACTCCTACTGGCAAGTCCTGGAATCCTACTCTGAAAGGGGGGCGGGGGGACAATAGAAAAGCCCTCAGGGCAGTCTTGGTCCTCCTAGGTCCTCCTAGGTCAGGCTACAGCCATCCTCTCTCCTCAGGCCACTCCTGGATTCACGGTCCGCAGAACTGGGGTGAAACCTCTTCCCTGGGACCCAGATTGCCCAGGGTGGGGATGAGGGCTGTGCTCACAGGGGCTCAACCCTAGGAGGGAAACGTTCAAACTCCTTCCTCAATAGGGGCCACAACTGAGGTGCTGGGGGTGGCACGGGTGGGGTGGAGAACAGGTGGCTGTGACTTGCTTGCAGCAGTGAGGGGAGAGGCTGGGAATGGGTAGAGTCAGCTCAGGAAGGCTCTGGAAGGGTAGCCTTGCCCGTCTTCCGATTGAGGAGCAGGGTCATGAGGGCAGGGCCGCAGCTGCCCTTGTGGTGAAGAGGGAAATACAGAAAAGCCTGAACTAGCACTTTTTTCATGGGGGCCTGTTTTCTTTTAAGCGAGGCGGCGTTCACACAACATACGTCGTCGTATACGTGTACATACACTTGTATCATGCAGCGGTGCTGTTTTAAAATAGACAGTTCAGCGGCAGGTGATGCATTCACAATGTTGAATGTGAAGAAACTTTCTTTCCCTTCACAACTTTCTGGGGGAGTCGGCGTGGAATGCATTCCCCGAGGTGGCCGAGACCCCGCGTGGCTGGCGCTTTGCGTCGTCTCTAACGCAGGGGCACCGGGACGGTGGCTTGTTGCGTGCGATGGCTCGGCTCCAGAGTCCACTTCTTTGGGCCCCCGACGTGTGGGGCGGGGTGCAGGGTGCAGAGCGAGCCCTGGGCTGTTCAGACGTAAGCGCCCGGTTCCGGGGGCCTGGGAGCCAGGCGAGGCTGGGCCGGTCGCCGGCAGCTTTCGCTTTTCGTTGGTCTGGGTGCAGGCGCAGGGCAGGCGCGCCCCCCGCCCCCGCCGCCCGCGGCCCCGCCCCTCCGCTTCCTCCCGGGTGTGTGGCACCGCGGCCACTCGGCGACAGAGGAGCGAGCCGGAGCCGGCCCGGCGGCGGCGGCGGCGGCGGCAGCTATGGTGAGGGCCCGGCGGGGCAGAGCCGGACCGGTGCGGGGCAGAGGGCGACGTGTGGGTGGGAGACCGGAGTCTGAAGTCCGAGGTGGGAGGTGACCTCCGGGATCCGCGCCGGTCCCCTCCGGGGAGGTGGCCACCGCCAGGAGCAGGATGGGGGCCAGAGCCTCCACCGGGGCGCACAGGCTGGGGAGGGAAAGTTTGGCCGCCTTCGCGCGGTGAGCGCGACTCGGGCTTCCCCCTTCTCTGAGCCAAGTGGTTAGGGAGTCAAGACTCCAGGCTGAGATCCTGGTGGTGGCCGCTTATGGGCTCTGAGCCCGGGCAAGTCACTTAACCTTCCTGAGCCTCCTTTTCCGCATCTGTGAAGTGGGGTCAGCAATACCTGCGTGGCCGGTGACTCACCTCCTGGTGAGGTTAAGGGAGATTCTGCCTGGCGCTCAGAACCTTCTCCTGAGAAGTGGTAGGTAATGTGATGACCTCTTCAGCCTTTCCTGGAGCTGTGAGGAGCCAAGTGTGGCCTGGGAGTTGGAAACCTGAGCAGATGGACTGGCAGAGGCTCTGCTAGCCCCATGGCAGGGTGTTGGAGGGCACGCTCCTTCCCCTGGGGAAAGATCAAGGGAGATGTTTACCATGAAAGTTCCACTGAAGTTATTGGAGTGTGGCACAGGCCTGACTCCTAACCTCTGCCTAGGGACACATTCTGGAAGTGAGTCATCCCCCACTCCTGCTGCAGACTCTGGCCTGTGTCCCCACTTGCCATCTCCGAGGCAAAGGTGTCAGGAACAGGTGGTGCCGGCTGCTTCGCCTGTCCCCTGGACTCTTGGGAAGATGGGCTGGGCAGGAAGCAGGCTTGGTGCTTTAAGATTCTGCGCTGGAGAAGCTGGCAGAGGGGTGACGCGTGTGGCCTGGCTGGGGGTCGTGATGCCTGGATGGCCTCCTCTCTAGGGAACTGGAGGCAGGAAGAGGAAGCAGGGCAGGAAGGTTGCACTGAGCTCTAAGGTCACGCCAGGAAACTGAGGGAGGCTCCGAGAATGGGACAGAGCTCAGAGCCCACTTCCTAGCGTGCAGGCCAAGGGATCAGGCAGGGCTAGGGGTGGGCTTCCAGTTGGCCTTTAGCACGTGGGGAGAAGAGGAAACTCCTGAAATGAAGGCTCAGGCCAGGATAACTTCCTGGGGGGTACTGGAAAACTCTGGCCCCCTCACAGGCTCATCTGAGGCAAGTGGATCAGAGCCCGGGGAAGGTCTGCGGACCTAGCCCTGTCCCTCTGTTTCTTTCAGTCTTACCCCTTTCTCTGCCCCCAGCACTTTCCCTTCCTTCTTCCCACTCCCTTCCCTCCTTGGTCTTTCTTCCTTGTCCTCTCCTCTGATTCATTCAATCAACAAGTATTTCTTGGGCATTTCTTCTGTGCCAGACATGTGGCAGGAATAGGTGATAGAGCGGGACCAAAGAGTGATGGGAAAGATGACAGCTGAGTGGGTAAGAGCGTGAATTCATTCATCTTATAGATGGTCATCTCGTATGCACCGTCCGATGAATGTGGGTTTTGAACCACGGCTTCCCTCATGTGCACACAAGTTGAGCTGGCGGCATCAGAAGGTCTGTGGAGTCTTTACCCAGCCAGCTAACGTATTTGACCTCCCTTTACCTGCGTTCAGTTTAGCACAGTAGTTAAGAACATGATTCTTGGGGTTTATATTGGTTCAACTCCCAGATCATCTGCTTACTGGCTCTGTGAGCTTGGACAGATGATTTCACCCCTCTTAGCCTCAGTTTCTTATAAAACTGGGATGACAGCCTGCCTTCAGTGAGGTGTTGTGAGGATTAAATAAGGTAAGGAGTACAAACAGCAGGCAGCACGGTGCTTAGCTCGGAGTATGTGTCCATTGAATTGTGGCTTTTATTACCATCAAGATGTACGGCCTTCTCAACAGCCGGCAGTGACTGATGGGAATAAACTCTACACAGGTTATCAAAGGGCCCCGTAAAGTTCTGTATTAAGGTTAGAGGCGGACACACAGGTTTGCAGTAAGGAAGAACTTGCTTGGCTGTGTATTTTGTAAAAGTATCTAAGAGGTTTTATTTTATTTTTTTAATATTTTAATTTATTCCTAGGAGAGAGAGAGACAGTGTGAGCAGGGGAGGGTCAGAGAGAGAGGGAGATCCAGAATCTGAAACAGGCTCCAGACTCTGAGCTGGCTGTCAGCACAGAGCCTGACGCGGGGCTCGAACCCACGAACTGTGAGATCATGACCTGAGCTGAAGTCAGATGCTTAACCGACGGAGCCACCCAGGTGCCCCTAGAATCGGGGTTCTTTGGCACTAGACAAGAGAGAAGGGAGTTAGGACAGGGAGGTTTGGGAGAGCTTTGTTTTTAGAGGCACCAAGGTTATTTGGCTTGGAGAAACCAGAGATACTTGAGGGCTGAAGGCAGGCTATTCTGTACAGAGGGCTAACTGTCTGTCAGGAACATTTCCTGTGTAACTGCCATCCTCTGTCTGCCAACCATGCTGATGCTCGCCCTCTACTGCACAGCCTCAGCCCTGCACACCCCCAAACAGGGCTGGCAAGTGCCCCTCTCACCCATCCTTCCTTTCCATGCTCTCTGCTCCCCACTATCTGCAACCCCTCACACCCTTGCTGGTGGCATTTGTCCACCCCTTCTGGCTGTTCTCTCTGCCTGGAGTTTTCTCACTGCTGTCTTCCACCAGCAGAGAAATTATTCTGAAGCCCCTCTCTGGCATCCCCCATCCCCCCGGCTCAGAAGGG